GGGTGTTGTGGTGGGCGCCTGTGGTCCCAGCTACTTGGGAGGCTGAGGCAGGAGACTTGCTTGAGCCCAGGAGTTGGAGGTTGCTATGAGCTGAAATGCCATGGCACTTTACCCAGGGGGACAGCTTGGGGCTCCTGTCTCAAAAAAAAAAAGCTGGTCTCTCGTTTGCATTAAGTATTTGAAAAGTACATTCTAAATTATTTTCTCTTTTCCCTTTCAGGAAGTGCTCAAATATTAAGACACACACACACAAAGAGGAAACAGTAGATAGGAACTCAGAAATCATGTGACTGATGACTAAATCTTGTTCTACTTACTGAAAAGGAGGAGTCTGATGATTAGTTAATGATCTTCCTTGCATTTTTAAAGTTTTGGAGATACTGTCAATCATGTTTCCATTTATGCTTTTTTCTACTCTGTTTTCTTCCACATTTACTGAACCTGGGAAACAATATTGGGTCTGCAACTCCTCCGATGCAAGCATTTCATATACCTACTGTGGTAAGTAAAACTGCAACAACAAATAATTGTAGCATTAGCTATCTTGATGATAAGTTTCCAGAAGAACATCACGTTGCTGGCCGTTACCGCTGGGACTCAGGAAATGTCAGTGTGTTCCAGCTGCTGCGGCTGCGGCTGCCAGCAGGAAAAGCAATAGTTGGTAACTGCCCTGCGTGAATCTTCTCGACCCCTCACAGAGCTCATGAGACTGTCACTGTGTTGTGCTTGACCTCCAAGTGCTTCTGCTTCCTGTGTCGATGGTCTCTACCTTGAGTCCAGTTTTCGGGTCTTTTCAGTTTCAGTAGAACAATCTGCTTCCCAGGTTTTGCCTCAGCCCTGATAATTACTACTTTTTTTGAGAAAGGAGGACAGTCCTAACTGCTTCATGGAGTTGATTTCTGCTCCAGGTTGCGATCTTTGAGGGCTCTTGGAATCACTTCCTTAATTGGATGTAATCTTGGTTCTGTAAGTCACTAGTTATTGTTTGTTTTAAGCAAAGTACTTAGCCTCTCTGTGCTCCAGCTTTTATAGTTATAAAAAGAAAGTGCTTTTGGAGTCCCTTCCCTCCCTCTCTCTTTCTCTCCTTTTCCTCTTTATTGCTTTAGAGACAGAGTTTCACTTTGTCACCCAGGCTAGAGCACAGTGTTGTTATCATAGTTCACTATAGGCTTGAACTTCTGGGCTCAAGTGATCCTCCTGAAAGTCTACTTTTTTTTTTTTTGAGACAGAGCCTCAAGCTGTTGCCCTGGGTAGAGTGCCATAGCATCACAGCTCATAGCAAACTCAAACTCTTGGG